GGGCTAGAATAACCATGCATTCATTTGATGTACTTTATTGAAGAATGACACACAGTAGCTGCGGCTAGTCTTAGCATTAAACATCATTAAACAGCTATATTACCTGTGCAGCATAACACAGTGAATCCACTTGGTGAAATGGGTCAGCCAGTATTATTGTCTGGTCAATATCACATATTTGTGAGCTGCTGTTTATGCCAGCTTCACCATGGTGATGAAGGTTTGGTAGATGACATGGAAACTGAAATGTAAAGATGAAACTCTTCCTGATATTCTAAGAAATACACCCAGTTAATTCAGAACATCTGACTTTTGGCACAGGGCTCTACTTATCCTCTGTTTTGTCTGCCTCTGTCTATTCACCTCCCTTTATGTAAAAATGCCTTTCCTTAAGATAGATTAGTTGTATGTGCAAGAAGTTCTTGCTTGTGTGTTTACTAGTAAGAAAGTGATGAAGAGGTTGTATGTGCAAGAAGTTCTTGCTTGTGCATTTAGTAGTAAGAAAGTGATGAAGAGAGTAACTGTTTTCATTGTGCCCTATGTGTAAATTAGATTACCATCACTGATGCAGACCTCAGTGTGAAAAAAAAAAATGCTGGAGCAAAAACTGAGAATGTGCCCTACTGACACACAACTGCACCGGCAGCATTTGCAGCCATAAGCCTCTAGACAGGAGGTACAGCAACACAGAGCTAAAGAGCATGTGGCAGAACCAAAGATGCGGCAGACTTCAGAGAGAAACATGTGAAAATAAAAAAGAAACAGGAAAGGGAAGCATGTGATGGAGGACAGACCTAAAAGCGGGAGAAGGAGGCCAAGAGTGCAATGGGGGGAGGGGAAAGCCATGACAGGATACCAATATGGAGGTAAAGGGAGGAGATGAGGAATAGTGAGGAGACAGAGAGGGAAGCTGCATAACAGAGAGACAGAGAAGAGCATGGCACTACATGAAACACAGCAGAACAGGGAGTGCAGCAAGGGATGGTGTCTTATAAACTAACAGTCATGTTGTAATATCTAACAAAAAGAGACCAAAGATGGAGTATACCACTTATAGGAGAGGGCGTTGAAAGTGGACAGAGACATTAAAAGGAAATCTTAAAACATAACAGCTTTTAAAAGGTTTACATGAAAACCTGCGTGCAGGAGTATAAGATAGGTGGATGCAGAAAATGTCAGAGAGCAAATAGAAGAGAGGAACACAAGGAAAACAGAAAGCTGTCAACATTATGTACATTTGTTGTGAATGCAGAAACAAAGCCACATAAAATAAGCCTTCTTTTCTCCAGCTGCTGAAATTGCAGCACACACCCTCTTGCTGTAACAGATGCGTCCCCTCTCTGTTTCCCTGACATTTGGCTTGTAGTCTTACCCTCTCTCCCTACAATACTGGCTACAGGTTACTGGAGAAAATGTGCTCACCTGCCTAACATAACATTCACAGCCCCACAAAACACAGGCATCACTGACTGTGAGTGATTTTCAGTGTGGGCACTCGG